ACAATCACCAGACATTTATACACCAAGTCACAAAGGTTTACAATAGTCTGCGTCAGTGTGTCCCTCATAGCGGGGACAACAGCTGATTGGTCAGGTGTAAACATAAAGGTATGATTTATTGGTATATGTAAACAAACAAATATTGGTAAACACAGGTAATTATGGGGGGTGGAGGGGTTTATTCTTGTTTTATTCCTTCTCATTCTTCTTCACCTCCCATTCTTCTTCTTCCTTCTCTTACTTCTCCTACTCTTCTCCCTCCCCTCCTTCTCCTTCACTAAGTAAATAAGTACTTACATGCATAAGGAAATAAATAACAAAGAAGATTTTTTTAATAATAATAATAATAATAATAATAATAATAATAATAATAATAATAAATAAATAAAAATAAACATGTTATTTCTTTTTCTATTTTCTCTGATTTGCTGACCACCTCCTCCACCGCTCACCTGTCTAAGGGAACTCCCCGCGTCAGCTGATCAATGGTGTGGGCCGCGCCTCATTCTGTCCCCTAACTTTTTATTTTATTTTTTGTTTTGTTTATTTTAATAATTTGTTTGATTTTGTTTGTTTTTGTTTATTTTTATATTTTTGTCACGTTTGGTCATTTCTCTGTTTTGTGTTGTGTTTGGTGTCTGTGTGTTTGTTTTAATTATTTGTTTTTCCATGTACCCACACGATTTACTCTACACACACACACACACACACACACAAGATGGGACCACTGTGCTTCCTCATCCTGATCAACGACGCTCTATCAGACACTCCTCACAGGTGGATGTACGTGGATGACTGCACTGTGGGGGTTTCAGTGGACAACACCGCACCAAACTACTCATCGCCCCAAGGCACCCTGGACAGGCTACAGGCATGGACTACGGAGAACAAGGTCACCATCAACCACACCAAAACCGTAGTCATGCACATCAATACCGCCACCACTCCAGTGCAAGCCCCAGCAGTCACAGTGGGTGCCCATCCTCTCCAGCTGGTGCAGTCTGCCAAACTCCTGGGTGTAATTATACACAACAAACTTGACTGGAAGGCCCATGTAAATAACACAGTCAAGGCAGCCTCGTACCGTCTCTACATGCTACGACGACTTAGGTCACTTGGGAGACCCACGCCAGAGCTGAGGACCATCTACAACGCCTCTATTCTCCCCAAACTAACGTATGCGTCACCAGCCTGGTCGTCTTCTCTCAACTCCACCCAACAACGTCAGCTAGAGAAGGTACAGAAAAGGGCCTGCAGAATCATGCTCGGCGCAGAATACTCCGGCTACACCAACGCTCTCTCCACCCTGGAAATGCCATCCCTCAGTGACCTCCACCACCAAGCACTGGAAAGGTTTGGCCGTGGACTACTGCACCACCCTCGCCATCGCCACCTCCTGCCACCTGCAGCCCCCACCCAACTCGCGCAGTCCGCCACTACAACAAAATCCAGCCCATAAGAGCCCGCACCGATAGATATAAGAACAGCACCATCCCATCTATTGTTAAAATAATAAACAACTCCTGATTTATGCACTGCACAGCCCTGTAAATGTATTCAATGCATGTTATATCATTATGTCTAAATCAAATGTAAATCTGTATATTTTCAGCCACCGGCTGCAACTCTATTAATAAACCGTTTGTTATTATTATTATTATTATTATTATTATTATTATTATTATCACACACACACACACACACACACAGACCATATTTACACAAACATATAACATAGAATCTACGACTACAAAATCTCTCTCTCTCTCTCTCTCTCTCTCTCTCTCTCTCTCTCTATAATATAAGTGCGTCACTCAACCTCGATGGTCTGTTGGCGACTCTCTGGATTAAGGGAATTGAATGCTAAGACTCTGCCAATATGGGAGACACTGCAATCGACCACCTTCACTCGCCCAACTGTCAAATAAGGCACCTCTTCACGCCTGGGTCAACTAGAGTGTTCTGATAGCGAACTGGTGATATTTGAGATAAGATGTGAGCGTTGTATTCACTTTTAGACGAACGGACGCACGAATGACCTAACGTATGAACGGACGTATGGACGCATGAATAGACACGGACGGCAGAGGGATTTTTAGACAATAGTTCCTTTTTTGTTGTCCAGTGAATCCGTTCATGAAGGCGATTTGTGAATCCGGATTATGGGGATCGTTCGTGGTCCGGTATGCGGATTATAGGTAAACTGTGTTCTTCTCTTGAGTGACGTATTTATGTTTGTAAGGCTCAGGGGTTTGTCTGACTCTCTCTCTCACAGGTGGTATAGTTCTCAGCACACGCGGAGTGGACGCCTGTGAGAGAGAGGACCCTCCCTATTGTGAACTCATCAACACAACATGACAAAAACAATCACAAAACACTTTCTTTAATTACTTCTCTATGCCCATTTACTCTTCAATAACAACTACCACACCAAACGACCCTAAAATCATCTAACTTAATGACCCAGTAAGTAAAATGAAGAAAATTGAAACGTAAGTGGAATTAAAAACAAGAATTTCAATACGACTATATGGTAACTTTATCGTGGGGTCTCCATAATCTTGACCCCTTTAATGTGAATTTTTTGGTTGATGATCAATTCTAGGTTGATTATCTAAGTTCTGGTGGATGATTAGATTACCAGTGAATCTAATTCGTCTTTTCAGGTGAGAGGATTGGTAGGATTAGGTTAAAAATTAGGATTAGGAAGGGGTTTCTCATCAGGATGTTTCAAGTTGGTTGTTTTGGTGAGGCTCTTGAGAGAGTAAGCGAGAGAGAGAGAGAGAGAGAGAGTTGAATTGTGTTGTCTACTAGTACTGTCTGGGCTCTTCCTCTATTCTTCTTCTGAAATATTCATCAATTATCTTCTATTTAACCTTAATTTTTTCTACTCTCTCTCTCTCTCTCTCTCTCTCTCTCTCTCTCTCTCTCTCTATCTCCATTTCTTCATCACCTCCATCATTACCTTTTTTTCACCTCATCATCATCATCATTGGGTCGGAGAGGTATAGTCATTACCACTGTCTGTGTGTGTGTGTGTGTCTGTGTGTGTGTGTGTGTGTGTGTGCGTCTCTATTACTGTTCTTACGTAGTTTCTTATTTTTCTTATGTTTTTATCCTCAAGTTTACATCACCTCTCGACTCTCTCTCTTTTTTCACACCACGAGAAAGATTAAGAACACCATAAAAACAACAATAACAACAACAACAACAACAATAACAACAACAACACCAATAACAACAACAATAACAACAACAACACCAATAACAATAACAACAACAACAACAACACCAATAACAACAACAACAACAACAACAACAATAATAATAATAACAATAACAAAAAACAATAATAACAAAAAACAAGGACAACAAAAACAACAACAAAACTCTCCTCTCTTTGCTTCTTTCCTTCATTACTTGTTTCTTCAATTACTCTCTGTCCAATTTACTTTTTGTGTATGAATTATTTGGTCTAATTATCCCCAACATATGTTTCTCCTTTCTCGTGTGTGTGTGTGTGTGTGTGGTTAGCGTACACTCAACCAAATCAACACTATCCTAATCTAATCTAACCAACCCTGAAACTAACTTAATCTAATCTAACACAAACTTAACCTAACCTAAACCTACCCAACATAACCTAACCTAACCTAACCTAACCTAACCTAACCTACACTCTACGGTCTTAAGGGAAGGTGTAAAAATATTGTTTTTATGCAAATTACGGACTTGAACTTAAGACGAGTGTAGTATGGAGCTAACACGAGCTGGTCTGACCTTGAGGGAGGGAGGGAGAGAGGGAGAGAGGGAGGGAGAGAGGGAGGAGGGAGGAGGAGGAAAAGAGGAGGAAGGAGGGAGGGAGGGAGGGAAGGAGGAGGGAGAGATGAGGAGAGAGGTAGGGAAGGAGGGAGGGAAGGAGGAAGGAGAGGAGAGGGAGGAGGAGGGAAGGAGGGAAGGAGGAAGGAGGAGGAGAGAGGGGTGTGTCTAGTGCAGAAGGATTGAGACGAAAAGAGAGAGAGAGAGAAGGAAAAAGAGAGAGAGAGGTATTGCTAAGGCACGGATGAGACTAAAAGGGAGGAAGGGGGGAGAAGGGAGGAGGAAGGGGGAGAAGGGAGAGGGGAGTGGAGGGGGGAGGTCTGTTCATGACGTCAAAGGTTACTCATGTGGTGGGAGGGAACAGAGAGGGGGGAATGGGAGGGAGGGGAGGGAGGGGAGATTGCGGGAGAGGATGAAAGAATGTGGACAGAGAGAGAGATTGGGTAGGAAGGAAGAAGAACAAGAAGAACACGAAGAAATTGAAGAAGAAGAACAAGAAGAACAACAAAAACAACAACAAAAGGGGGAAGGGGTAAAAGAATTAAGGGAATTAATTTAGAGAAACAACAGAGTTACGAGAATTTACTTCAATAAATCGTAAAGTTAAGGTAAAATCAGATAATTAGTGGAATTATAAGAGTAAAATCATAGACTTAAGGGAATTTCAAGGTAGACCGTAAAGTTAAATAATTCGTGAGGTAATTCAGAACAGGGAACTAGCATGGGTCAATGGAGAGGTGTGTGGGTGGTGAGAGGGCTTAAAGCTGCTGTGTGAGAGAGGGAGGGAGTGGGGGAGAGAGGGAGGGAGTGGGGGAGAGAGGGGGGGAGAGAGGGAGGGGATGCGTGGGAGGAGGTGACTAAGAGAGTGAGAGAATGAGGGGAATGAGAGAGAGAGAGAGAGAGAGAGAGAGAGAGAGAGAGAGAGAGAGACAACTCGCCATAAGTTGTCATAAAAAACTACAGGTTGCCATAACAGACACATCTTCTCATGTTTTGCATTGGGATTGCCATAACTTTCATAGATAATCAACCAAAAATAGTGAAGTCGCCATAAGCTGTCAATAAAAAGTGACGTTGCCATAAATTATTAATGAAAAAGTCAGGTTGCCATAAAATTCACGTCGCCATATGTTACTAAACAATAACAAATAGGTTGCCATAAAAGACACACATATACTCACATTTTCGTTCGGGTTGCCATAGTAGGGTTGTTTGCCAAAGGAGTAAATTTCCCAAAGCACCACGGCAAAGCTCCATACGTCACTCTCCAGGGTAAACTTGCCATACATAATACTCTCGTGTGCCATCCACCTCACTGGCAGCAACCTGGACCCTCCGATCTATGGCAACAAATGATAAAGAGGTGAGAAGGAGGAGGCGAAATGGTGTGTGTGTGTGTGTGTGTGTGTGTGTGTGTGTGTGTGTGTGTGTGTGTGTGTGTGTGTGTGTGTCTCTCTCTCTTTCTCTACTCACCTTATAGTAATCACAGGTGTACACATCCCTGGACATGCCGAAGTCAGAGATCTTCACCGTCAAGTTCTCCCCCACCAGGCAGTTCCTACACGCCAGGTCTCTGTGTACGAAATGTTGAGAGCTCAGGTACTCCATCCCTGAGGCTATTTGCACGCTGATGTTGAGTAGATCCTCCTGTAGGGGTGTGAGAGAGGTGTGAGAGGGGTGTGAGAGGGATGTGAGAGGGGGGTGTGAGGGGGGTGAAGGGATGTAAGGTGCGAGAGAGGGGTGTGAGAGGGATATGAGAGGTGTGTGATAGAGGTTATTACAAGAACATACAGGTAATTAAGGTGAAAATGACAATATTTATTTGCATATACCCATATTGGGATCGTACCCGGGTTCTATAGGATGAGTTGTCAATGGACTATCCACAACTCTAATCCAAATCATTACACAAACTTATATCCATACCATCCACACCACCACTATCCACACTACCACACCCCCACCCACACACCCACACCACCTCCACAACTCACCCGACTGAGGGACTTGATGGGGGAGTCATTACTGTAGAAGGGTTTAGAGCAGGATCTCAGCACCTCCGCAAGATCACCATAGGCCATGTACTCGAAGACCATCCACGGCGTCTTGCCCAGCTCTGAGGAGGACGAGGGTAGAGTGATTATACAGTGGTACAGTTACAGTGATTATAGAGGTACAGTAGCTATAGAGGTACAGTAATTATAGAGGTACAAGATTATAGTGAAAGATTGATTTTTATTTATTTATCTAAAAAAAAATCTATGTATCTATAGGTATCTGTATTTACGACTCTCTCTCTCTCTCTCTCTCTCTCTCTCTCTCTCTCACCTGTAGCCACTATGCCGATCAGAGACAATATATTTTCGTGTTTGAAGGCTGACATGATCTCCACCTCTCTCCTAAAGTCAGCTTCGGCTTCTACTCCTGCAGACTCCTTCAGCACCTTCACCGCCACCGTCAAGTTCACCTCCTCCTCTTCCCCGGTACCTCCTCCTTCTCCTTGTTCCTCGTCGTTCGTCACCTCACTCACACTCTCCGGGGGACAGCGTGGGCCATACGTTCCTGTAGAGGGTAAAATAGTGTGTGTGTGGAGACGCTATGTTTCTGGGCTTTTATTTCCTATTTGTAAACAATTAAATACATGTTAAGGATAGTTATTGACCTTTGTACACGCTGGCATTCCTCTGTACACCTTGACACGCCTTTGTACAGCATCTCTCACCTTTGTACACCTTTCCGAAGCATCCCTCCCCCAGCACACCGATAAAGGAGATTTGGTCTGAGTCTATCAGCTGGACCGCCAGGGTGTGTAGAGGCAAATTGTCCGGTGACTGAGCGTAGTAGTTGGGGTTGCTGGCGAAGTTGTGTGTTAAGAGTGACGAACTCTTCGCCAGGCTCCCGGGTGACTGCTGTGGAGGGAGGGAAGAGGGGGGGGGTTAGTTTGAGTGAAAGACTGGTTGAAGTTTAGTATATATTCAATATATATATTCATAACATATCAACAACAAATTCTCTCTCTCTTACTGGTCCTGATTTCTTTTCCCTCTGTCTGTGTCTCAGTAGCGTGTAAAGGTTCTTCCTCCGCCAATAGACCAGCATCAGCACCACAACCATCACCAGCGCCACTACTACCGCTGCGCTAACCAGATTCTTCGACTGTAAAGGGGAGGACTGAAAAATGAGCGCTGATTGGTGAGATGAAGTTGACGTCATGGAGGAAGCTTGTTGATTGGTGTGATGAGTATGACGTAATGATAAACAAAACTATGATTGGTAAGATGAGTGTGACATAATGATAAACAAAGTTACTGATAGGTGTGATGGAGATGACGTAATGATAAACAAAACTTCTGATTGGTTGAATGGACCTAACGTCATAAAATATCCATAAAAATAAGTTACACACACCTAAACCAAATTAATAAACCAATAAACCGGACAAATAAGATAATATAAAAGAATAATTTAGGATATTTAACATTATAAACACCTAAAATATCATTATGTCTAAATCAAATGTAAGTCTGTATATTTTCAGCCACCGGCTGCAACTCTATTAATAAACCTTTTATTATTATTATTATTATTATTATTATTATTATTATTATTATTATTATTATTATTATTATTATTATTAAAGCAAAATGAATAGGGGAGTCTTAAGCAAGGCGTGGGTGTACTGTAGACTGTCTTAAACAAGATGTGGGTTAGGTTAGGTTAGGTTAGGTCAAGTCAGCTTAGATCAAATGAGAATAGATGATTTTTTCAATTAATTACTTACGTCTAAACATCGGTAAAACATTATAGAACACACACAAACAAACACAAACATAAACAAGGAGATTTCTATTTAGTAAACAAACAGAGACGTTTTTAGGACCCCTCACCTTGTTAGGATGGCTGGAGGGAGCTATAGGCCGGGGCTGAGGGACACCAGCAACTGTAGAGTGACACGATACAGAGAAAAGGTAAATAAATATTGGACCATTTAGTCTATAGGAAATAATACACCACCCCTCCCCCCTCTCACATAGGTCACGCCATCTCGAACACAAAGGCTCATTGGTGACAAAGAGTTCAAGGGCTCCAACCCAACACCCAACTTGTGTGTAAGTCATAATAATTTTATTTAATGGGAGGGAAAAAAAAACTAGAACGATGGAATGAGGAATTTGAGGATGTACTTACTGTGAATATCTTGGCAGGTCTCGTTGGGTTGGAGTCGCTTTTCACCATTACTACAGATACATTCAAAAGGAGTCTTTCCCTGTGGTGTAGGATGGCAGGATATACCAGGACCACACGGATCATTGTGACACACGTTGACCCGGGAGTCCACTTGGGGGTCCGTGTTTTGGATGTCAGATGGCGCTGACCTCTGCGTCATACTCCTTGAGAACTTCAGGGAGGGTTTTCGTTTAGAGGGATGAATCTTAGAACTGTTTCTCGCTCTTGGTGTGGTACTGATGAGGACCCTGGGGGATGATGTCGTTCCCTTGAGGTTCGGTTCACTCTGTCGCCTTTTGCTACCTGACGGAGGTGTGGTTGATGTGAGGTTCATGACTGGGCTGAGGGAGGCTTGAGATCCTCCCCTGTCGAGATCTGGGGTCCTGGTGGCTGAGTCGAGGATACTCTCCTGGGTTCTGGTGGTCGAGTTCTTGTCTGAGGTGAGAGGTTCTTGGGGTTCTCTCTCAAGGTCTTGGGTTCTGGCTGTCGAGTTCCCATCTTGGATTACTTCACTGGGGTCATCAGGAGAGGATGACGCCGACGTCCTGAAGGTGGGCAGGTGGGTGGTGGTGACCAGCTCCGGGGTAGAGAGCAAGACGTTGGGGGGGTTAAACATACCTGCTGTAGAGTTTACTGACTCAGGGGTGGAGTCAAGAGAACTGGTGGAGGAGTTAAGTGACTCAGGGGTGGAGTCAGAGGAACTGGGGGAGGAGTTTAATGGCTGAAGGATTAAGGTAGTGGAATTGGGAGCTGGAATTAGGGGTTCATGGTTAGGATTAGGATTAGAGACGGAGTTTATGACCTGTAGGGTGGGATCATATGAGCTTGAATGATGGGGTGTGGAGCTTAGGGGCAGGGGGGTGGAACTTATTGGTGTATAGCTGGAACTTAAGGATAAAGAGGTGGAGTTTACTATTATATGGGTGGAGCTTAAGGATAAAGGGGTGGAGATTACTGGCTTATGGGTGGAGCTTAAGGAATCATGACTGGAGCTCCCAGAATTATGGGCAGGGCTTGAGGAGTTGGAGGCGGGGCTTGAGGAGTTAGGGGAATGAGGGGTGGGGCCAACTGACTCATATCCAAGAAGGCCTCCTGTGATTGGAGAAGAAGAAGAAGAAGGGGAGGAGTCTGGGGCTACAAGAGCGCTGGATAGTGAGCGATCTTCTTCCGTCGGGACCATTGTGCCTCCTGGTGAAGAGAGAGAAGATACATGTTCAGTTGATGTAATATATAATACAAGTTCAGTGCCAGGTCTCTCTCTCTCTCTCTCTCCACTAATGAAACTACCCATCAGAACACACACACACACACACACACGTTGATTTAATGAGTAAAATTCGACCAACTTGAGCCATACCTCACCGAGGGAGTGACCCGAGGCAGCACACCCGAGGATGGATCTTATGTTCCATGATAAAGACAATTGGGTAATCGGTCGTGAAGAAGATGATGATCGGAAACCATTATTGTTAAGTGAGAGGCGGACGTGTGGTGAGGAGACGACCTGGAGAGAGAGAGAGAGAGAGAGAGAGAGAGAGAGAAAATCAGGCAGCCAAACAGAGAGACAAATATACATAAAAAAAAGAAAGAAAGAAAGAAAGAAAGATAAAGAAAGAGAGAGACAGACAGACAGAGACAGCACAAACCTCAGGGGTAAAGACAGAGCTTCCTTGTGTGATAACTTGGCCATGCGCGACGCTAACATTAACAAGCTGATGGATCGACCCTGTGTGTGTGTGTGTGTGTGTGATTCCTATAGCTCACACTGGCTACTTTCTATCATGATTCCAACTTCATTACATTCCAAATTTCGACATTCCAGTTTCCCTTCATTACAAACTTGACGATTCCAGCTTATCTATATTCCAACCTACCTATTCCAACTTAATTCTCTTTTAAACCTCCCAAATGATATTCCTATTTATCCAAAGCTAAATTCCATGTTCATTCCAAG